AGAATTAATGCAATTTGAGACCACTTTCACCAATATGATTCAGTGCTATTCAATCCTGGGATGTGTAGTTTGCTGAGACACCAGCTAAAGCCCGTGTGAAACTACAACTCCCATGATTGCACAGCCATGGTGTCAAGCTGCACTAAATCTACAGCGTAGTCTCAGCCTCTGATTATTCCTTTTTGAAGAAAACTCTATGAAATGCATTACGTTCCCAGCTGTTAAAGACATAACGATGAAATGAATTTTCCACTTAATTAGGAGTTCCAACACACTCACCCTGTCTGACAAAAATGGGAATTCGTCCTTTGGTTGTGTCTAAAATAATTTAACTCTTGAGATACTCTTCCAAGGAGTTTTTTCAAAACCCCACCTGAATACGCTGCCTTAAGAGGAATGCTTTCGCCTCTGTTTGGAAACCCCAGGAAATCTTTCTCACAAACCTCAAAAGGTTTTATTTACGGCATTTTCTTAATTTATGAGCCTTAGGGAGGAAGGTGTAATACGAGGGTTGAATGAAAAGTAATGCCTCCACCTTCCTAACTCCTCAACAGATGGCAGAACTGGTATGCAGCAGGTACTGGCTTGTTCAGTAGACTCTCCTCTACAGTTCAGTAGACTCTCCTCACAGTTAGGTAGACTCTCCTCTACAGTGCAGGTTCTTACCTACAAAGCCTTGAATGGTTTGGGACTCACCTACCTGCGTGATCGCATTTCTGTGTACGAACCGACGCAATCTATTTGATCATCTGGAGAGGCCCTGCTCTCACTCCCACCCCCTTCGCAGGTGTGATTGGTGGGGATGAGGGAGAGGGCCTTCTCTGTGGTGGCCCCCTGACTCTGGAGCTCACTTCCTAAGGATATCAGGCAAGCCCCCACATTGACAGTCTTTAGGAGGAGCCTGAAAACATGGCTGTTCCAGTGTGCCTTCCCTGAATAAGGAAATAATCCCCAGAAAAATGTCCTCAGAAACACTTATAAAATCATAGAATCAAATCATAGAATCAAAGAGTTGGAAGAGACCTCATGGGCCATCCAGTCCAACACCCTGCCAAGAAGCAGGAATATTGCATTCAAATCACCCTTGACAGATGGCCACCCAGCCTCTGTTTAAAAGCTTCCAAAGAAGGAGCCTCCACCACACTCCAGGGCAGAGAGTTCCACTGCTGAACGGCTCTCACTTTAACTACCTGTTGGGTTGCTCTCCCTTCACTTCTTTTAAAACCCTCCTATCAGATACATCCTACCTCTGTTCATGCCCAGCGTTTATTTTTTAATTTTTAAACTATTACATTTGGCCCAGCCATAGGTTTTTAAATCCTTGTGTGTTACGTGAGTTATATTAATTGTATTGTTTTTGCTTATTGAATTTTGTTTTATTGATGTGTTGTCGGGCTTGGCCTCATGTAAGCTGCTCCGAGTCCCCTTGGTGGTGGGGTATAAATAAAGTTTTATTATTATTATTATTAGTTCCATTTTGGCAAGAAGCCTTAGCATTGAACGGTTGTGTTGTTAAAGTGCGAAGTATGGAACCCTGTGCAGACGGTCAATGCGACTTAAGCAACGTGCAGTCATTGAATTCTTAACAAAGGTGTCAAACTAAAGGAGATTCCTCAGAGAATGCAAGCTGTTTATACTGATTGTGTTGATGTGAGTACTGTGCGTCATTGGGTGAGTAAGTTTAAAGATGTTGAGGTGACACCTTCTGCTGTCAAGAATTCAATGATTGCACGTTGCTTAAGTCGCATTGACCGACCATCTGCACAGGGTTCCATGCTTCGCACTTTAACAACACAACCGTTCAATGCTAAGGCTTCTGGCCAAAATGGAACTGAAGAGGAGAGTCTACTGATCAAGCTAGTCCCTGCCGCATACCAGTACTGCCATCAGTTGAGGAGTTACGAAGGTGGAGGCATTACTTTTCATTCAACCCTTGTAGTTTCCTTATTCCTTTTTTGGAGCTATTGTCCCTATTCTTCCAATTGGTGCTTTATACTTGAGTAAATATGATAAGTTATCATAAAGCTCTGAGAAACTGACTTTGAAGCAGCCTAAAACAGGGTTTTGCTGAAATCTGTCTTTTGGGAGCTCACCAAAAGAAAAGTACTTTGAGTCCAGTGGTCATAGAATCATAAAATCCTAGAGTTGGAAGAGACCTCGTGGGCCATCCAGTCCAACCCCATTCTGCCAAGAAGCAGGAAAATTGCATTCAAATCACCCCTGATAGATGGCCATCCAGCCTCTGTGTAAAAGCCTCCAATGAAGGAGCCTCCACCACACTCCAGGGCAGAGAGTTCCACTGTTGAACAGCTCTCACAGTCAGGAAGTTCTTCCTCATGTTCAGGTGGAATCTCCTTTCTTGTAGTTTGAAGCCAGTGTTCCACGTCCTAGTCTCCAGGGCAGCAGAAAACAAGCTTGCTCCCTCCTCCCTATGACTTCTCCTCACATATTTATACATGGCTATCGTGTCTCCTCTCAGCCTTCTCTTGGGAGGGCTAAACATGCCCACCTCTTTAAGCCGCTCCTCATAGGGCTTGTTCTCCAGACCATTGATCGTTTTAGTCGCCCTCCTCTGGACACATTCCAGCTTGTCAACATCTCCCTTCAATTGTGGTGCCCAGAACTGGACACAATATTCCAGGTGTGGTCTGACTAAGGCAGAATAGAGCATGTGGAGCATGATTTCCCTGGATCTAGACACTAGACTCCTATTGATGCAGGCCAAAATCCCATTTGCTTTTTTTGCCAACGCATCATATTGTTGGCTCATGTTTAACTTGTTACCGGCTGTTAGGAATTGTGGGAGTTGAAGTCCAAAACACCTGGAGGGCCAAAGTTTGCCCATGCCTGCTCCATAGCATAGAATCATGGCATTTGAAGTGGTGTCAAGTGGTATTATTTCTACAATGTAGATGCACCTTATTTTGTGGTTCAGGGGCCACTCCCAGGCAGGCTGGAAAAAGGAGATAATAAGGATCAGAGGCACATCGTTTCCACCCCATGCACAGCTGCTACTCATAGATGTTGGGCAGCCATCTGTCTTTCTCATCATCACTTTGGCCGCTGTACGATTTGACTCCATCCTCTTCCCTTTTCCTGTAAAGCTAATAGGAAGACGACTCGAAGAACTTGAAGCAGCACAGAGGGCGTAAAGCAGGAGATAAAGGTGAATTCCTCCAAGATTACTGAAAGGAGAGTGACATCTCACAACATTGCAACATAAGTATTTTATGTTGTTGTTGCCTCCACAACAACTTCTTCTCTTATTTTGAGGGAATTATTTGCATGGCTTTTGAAGCAAGGGCTCTTTTAAAGATTTATTTAACAATGGTATTGTATATAGTTTGCTACAGTTGTCTTATGGGGTGAAGGAAGATCCTCTTCTCTAAATAGTCAATTAGTTAGCAAGTTCATCTGTTTGTTTAGAGCAGTGGTTTCCAACCTTTTTTGACCAGGAACCACTTTGAGCAGGGACCACTTGACCATGGACCACTTTGACCAGGGACCACTTGGACCAGGGACCACTTGGACCAGGGACCACTTGGACCAGGGACCACTTGGACCAGGGACCAAGTTGACCAGGGACCAAGTATACCAGGGACCAAGTTGACCAGGGACCACATTAGTCAGGGACCACTTGACCAGGGACTACTTTGACCAGGGATCACTTTGACCAGGGACCAAGTTGACCAGGGACCAAGTTGACCAGGAACTACTTTGACCAGGAACCACTTGGACCAGGGACCACTTGGTCCAGGAACCACTTGGATCAGGGACCAAGTTGACCAGGGACCAAGTTGACCAGGGACCACTTTGACCAGGGACCACTTTGACCAGGGACCACTCTCCAACATTAGTACCAAAAGGGTTACGAATCAGTTTTTGGTCAACTTTAGATTTGGTTGAGTTATTTGGGATGCTGATTCAGAAAATTGCACTGGATAGACCACATCAGCTCTATTTTTTGATACAGAACATATGCCACCCAGTAGTTTCCATCTGCCCACACACAGAAAACCATATTTTATAAGTCTTGGCACTATAAGAGTGGTTAAATTACCCATGTTTTCCGCTGTCCACAATATGTGTATCCCTAGTGGATATAGGAGTTGTACCACCCTGCAACACTGATGTTCCATTGATGCACTTATATATTATTAATCATTTTAAATATATATTTAAAAAGAGAAAAACGAGGAGGATGGGGAAAGAGAAGAGAAGTAAAACAGACTCCCACATATAATTACTCATGTCTTGAATGGAATGCTGGCCCTGCAGTGAGTTCTTCAGTTGTGAGAACTCACTGTATTGCATGTTATCATCATGAAGTGTTTTTGGTTTGGGTGCCTTTTGTTGGCATATCTATTATGTTGCTATCTTTTTATTGTTATCACCCACTCAGGGATGTAGGGTGTGAACCACCTGCTAGCAAATAGAAGAAACATTCTGAAGAAGGGGAAGTCCCCCGAAACAAGGCGAACTCAACCCGGGGATCCTTGTCATTTGTTTACGTTCTCATGGACTACAAGTATTGATTTGTTTACGTTCTCAAGGACTACAAGTTTTGTCAATCCATTTACGGTCTTTAAGACTACTAATATCATCATTTGAAGTATATTCTGCATTGGAGACCATATGGACAAGATTTTAGTTCACTGACTGTCTCAAGGACTATACATAATTTGTTTACGTTTTCATGGACTACTAGTATTTTCAGTTTATTTACGGTCTCAAGGACTACTAATATCAGTATTCGAATATATTTTGTATCGGAGACCGTTGGGATTATATTTGAAGTTCACTAACTGTCTCAAGGACTAATATACAAGCTAGGAACTTTCTATCTCTATTTTGTTTTGTGATTCACAAGCAATGTTTGTTTGAATACACGTTGCAACTTCTATTGTGGCATTGTATATAGATATCTGTGTTTCTTTGGCATTAATAGTTGGCAGAATTAAGTGTAGTTCAATTGCTTCATGTTGATCTCTTTCTTTCAGATCCATTAGTATACAGACTGTTCCAATGGATCCCCAAACATCTTATGCATCTCTAGTGAAAGGCATTCAGTCTCTGGATGTAACAGGGGATTTTAATCCCTGTCAGCTCCTACTCACCGGAGACCGGTCCTTTCCGGTGCTTCTTGATTCAAATGATGAAGTCCTCATTGCCGCGTCTCAGTACGGAGAAGGCCGTATGGTGGTCTTTGCCCATGAAGCAATGGTGGCCCTTCCCCAATTTTTGCCATTGATTAAAAATGTTCTTGAGTGGCTGAAGCCATCCTCCACCGCACAAGTGGGGGTCCACCAAAGCATGGATGCCCTCTCCCAGATGCTCCTTAGCAATGGGATCAATGTGCATCCCGGAGTGCCCTTTGGAGACTCCCTAGGGGTTTACTGTTTGGATGCCTACAATAATGACCAGACAGAGGACCTGGTGCAGTTTGTCAAAAGAGGTGGGGGGCTGCTGATTGGAGGACAAGCCTGGAATTGGTCATATCAACATGGCAAGGATTACGTTCTGGTGGAATTCCCTGGCAACCAGGTGACCAGTGTGGCTGGCGTGTATTTTACTGCCAATGTGGGAGAGAATGGGATCTTTCCCATACCCATAGAAATGCCAAGGGTCCCCCGGATTGATGAGTACGTATTTATCTTCATTTTCCTTATTTCTATGTTGTTGTTGTATGCTTCCAGTTTGTATCCGGTTTCAATGATGCACTGAAATATACCTAAAGCATATAAAGAGAGAGAGAGAAGGAAAATGTAGCACTGTCTCAGGGTTGAAAAGAAACTCACGAAAAAGCGGCAATAAAAATTTTGAAATGGTGTCAGGAATGCCCAGAAAATAATCTGCAATAATAGAAACTTATTTGGATTATTTTGGGGGGGGGGGGGGAATCCCTGGGAATGATCGCAATAAAGAGTGAAATCTCCACCAATTTCCTAAACACCTTTGTCCTGAAGAAAAGGAGGGAAAAGGGGAGAAGGAGAAGAAGATGGGTGAGAAGGAGGGAGAGAGGGAGGAGGAGGAGGAAGAAGAAGAAAAGGGGAGGAGGACTTCATCACATGGACCTTGAGAAGCATTGGGGACCCTCTGTCTAGTAAAGGAATTGTATTGTTAGAACCCCAATCATCCTGTTTCTCTCTCCAGGTTTCCGGCCATTGTTGCCCACATTCAGAACCATCACAAGGGGAATCCTATTCTCCGCCCTCTCTATATTACTTTTTTTTTATCCAGAAAAACTTCAATATCTGAAAGCCAAGATTACCATGGACCTCATCCTATTTGGGGGGTTGGGGAGGAAACAAGGGAATTTTAAACCCCTTTGCCATGATAAGTCTTTCCCGTGCCTTCCTTTCCTCCATTCCGGTGTAATCATAAACCCCTTTGCTATGATCCCCTCTTGCAAGGATTTGCTTCCCTCCATCAGACCAGTATTATGTTCAAAAGGGTCATGATACCAGGGCTCTGCCTGTATTTAGGCAGAGGGGAATCAAACAAACACCTAGTTTGTATCAAACAGTTTAATTATTACTTTCTGACGGTTTTAATAGTCCAAAATATAAAACATAAAGATAGCAGTCAGCCACTGAATAAACAAAAACTGACAGCAAACACTGTTGCAGGTTCAAGATAACACCATAGTCAAAAGGCCCAGTCCAGTGGTCAAATGACGAGAGTTCAGTGAGCAAGTCCAGGGATCAAGAGTCTATATCGTAGTCAAAAGCCAGTCCAAAAATTCAAGGTTCCAAGGGTTCAGGAGACAGGTCAGGATACTGAAAATCCACGAACCTGGGGGGAAAACCAGCAGCATCTACCACCAAGATAAAACAAATACTTTTCTCCTGAAGATCAGTCCCAAGACTAGCTCCTTATATCCAGAAACACCCAGCTGCAACCCATCTCTTGCATACCTCCACCCTTAATTGCTTTCACCCATGAACTCTTACTTACAGATTACTCAACCCTTTATACCTAAGACTTACATTAACCCTTCCATCACCAACTGCTAGGCCTACCACCACCAACCACCATCAACTGCAGAACATGATACATGACAAAAAGCTAGCAAGAGCACAATTTTAAGCCTAGATTAAGGAGAAAATGCAGTGACAGCAAAGTGGTGAGAAATATCCATTCCTCCATGTCACTGAAATTATTCAGCATGGGTGAATCTGCCAGATCTCATCACATGTGTTTTTCAGCGTTAGCAACAGTTCTGCCAGAATTTCTCTCCTGTGTTCTGAACTCTCTCCTTTCAGCACACTTTAACTCCATTTCAAGGACGAAAGGCAATGGATGATGGCCAGAAGTAGGCAAGTGTCATCTGATGGTCTCTGTCCACTTCATCTTTGAAATGGACCTAAAGTGTTCTGAAACAGGGAAAATGCTAGGAGAAGATGAAGGGATCCTCCTCATTAACTGCTGCTACCAGGCAGAACTATTTCACCTTGCCTCTGAAACAGTTAAAATCTACTCTATTTTGAAGCAGAAAAATAGTTGACAGGCAGGTTGACAGAATTCAGTGCCTGGCAGAAATCAATAGCTTCATGTTGATATCTCTCTTTCAGATCCAACAGTACACTGATCTTTCCAAATAGTCCCCAAGCGTTTTATGCATCTCTAGTGAAAGGCATCCAGTCCCTTGATGTAACAGGGGATTTTAGTCCCTGTCAGCTCTTGCTCACCGGAGACCGGTCCTTCCCGGTGCTTCTTGATTCGAAGGATGAAGTCCTCATTGCCGCGTCTCAGTACGGAGAAGGCCGTATGGTGGTCTTTGCCCATGAAGCAATGGTGGCCCTTCCCCAATTTTTGCCATTGATTAAAAATGTTCTCGAGTTTCTGAAGCCATCCTCCACCGCACAAGTGGGGGTCCACCAAAGCATGGATGCCCTCTCCCAGATGCTCCTTAGCAATGGGGTCAATGTGCATCGCGGAGTGCCCCTTGGAGACTCCCTAGGGGTTTACTGTTTGGATGCCTACAATAGTGACCAGACAGAGGACCTGGTGCGGTTTGTCAAAAGAGGTGGGGGGCTGCTGATTGGAGGACAAGCCTGGAGTTGGTCATATCAACACGGTGAAGAGAACGTTCTGGTGGAATTTCCTGGCAACCAGGTGACCAGTGTGGCTGGTGTGTATTTCACTGCCAATACGGGACAGAATGGGATCTTTCCCATACCCACGGAAATGCCAAGGGTCCCCCTAATCACTAAGTAAGTATTTATCTTTATCTGCCTTATTTCTGTGTTGTTATTGTGTGTCTCCAGTTTTTGTTGTGTTCCTATAGTCATTTGCAGTGGTGGAAAGACAATCATATCCCAGAAATATCTTTGCAAGGTTTCTTGCCTAAAGTCACCTGATGGACTTCCATGCCCTTGTTCAAACCACAGTACCTTAGGGTGACTATAGATCAGAAATGACTATGAAGACATACCACAGCAAATACTGTGGTTGAGACCCATCTTTTAAGTTTGCACAGTTAAAACTTGTGCACCAGCTGCGCCCGTACCTTGGGAAGTCTGATCTGGCCACAGTGGTCCACGCTCTGGTTACATCCCGAATAGATTACTGTAACGCACTCTACGTGGGGCTGCCTTTGAAGACGGTTCAGAAACTTCAGCTAGTCCAACGGGCGGCAGCCAGATTACTCACAGATTACTAACTGGGGCGGCATACAGGGAGCATACCACCCCCTTGTTATGCCAGCTCCACTGGCTGCCGGTCCATCTCCGAGCCCAATTCAAAGTGCTGGTTTTGACCTATAAAGCTCTATACGGTTCTGGCCCAGCTTACTTGTCCAAACGCATCTGCCCCTATGTCCTACCTCGTAATCTAAGATCATCTGGGGAGTCCCTGCTCTCGCTCCCGTCGACAGTGCAAATGCGCCTGGCAGGGACGAGAGACAGGGCCTTCTCGGCTGTGGCCCCCGCCTATGGAACACTCTCCCAAATGAGGTAAGATCCGCTCCCTCCCTCCTGGCTTTTAGGGAAAAATTAAAAACATGGTTTTGGGACCAGGCCTTTGGGCAGTAGAAACAAATCTATGCAGTGTTGAAGGCCTTCATGGCTGGAATCACTCAGTTCTTGTGTGTTTTTTCGGGCTATATGGCCATGTTCTAGAGGAATTTCTCCTGACGTTTGCTCCAGGCACAGTCAGCCCATTGTATGCTAATCAAGGTGGTCAGTTGAAAGATTCACACCTAGCCCAACTGACAAAAGTCCTTTGTCTCACCCTGGTCATTCCACAGATACATAAACCCCCTTTTTCTCCAGCTCCAACAGACCTCACCTCTGAGGATGCTTGCCATAGATGCAGGCGAAACGTCAGGAGAAATGCCTCTAGAATGTGGCCATATAGCCTGAAAAAACACACAAGAACTGAGAAATCTATGCAGCATTTCGGAAAGACAATGACTGGAACGGCGATTCAACGGATGAGACTGTTTTACTGTTTATGGGTGTATTTTAATTTGATTTATGTCTAACTGTAATTGTATCATTGTAATTGTTTGTGCCGACATTGAATTTTGCCATTACCTATGTGGAAACCGCTTTGAGTCCCCTTTGGGGTGAGAAAAGCGGTATACAAATCTTGTAATTAAATAAATAAATAAATAAATAAATAAATAAACTAAGGCCCAGGGGCTGGATACGTCCATCCAAGGTCATTTACCCGGCCCTTGCTCAGGGTCAACCTAAGTCTGAAATGACTTGAAAGCACACAACAACAACAACAACAATCCTATCTCATCAGCCAAATGCAGGCCCACACTTCCCATTGAAATACTAATAAATTTATATTTGCTAAAATTGTTCTTCATTTTAATTATTGTATTGTTTTAAAGTGTTTTTTGCACAACAAATAAGATATGTGCATTATGCATAGGTATTAATTCATGTTTTTTTCAAATTATATTCTAGTCCTCCAACAGTTTGAGGGACTGTGACGTGGCCCCTGAGCTAAAGGGAATTAATACTACTGATCATCTCTTGTTTCAACAGGTCTGGATTAGACATCCAAAGAGACTTAAATTCTCTTCTAAATGGAGTGGTTCAGTTTGACATGGGCGATAAGGTCCCTTCTCCCCTGCTCATCCATGGGAATTTGGCATTTCCAGTTGCCGTATCCGATTCTGATGAGACATTCATTGGAGCCGCATACTATGGCAGGGGACGCGTTGTGGTTGCCTCCCATGAAAGGCTATTGGACACCGATTCAATGCAGACATTTCTGCTCAATGCCATCCAGTGGCTTATGGCTGGAAAAGGAGGAAATGTTGGAGTTGGAAGCGATATCCAAGGGCTTCATTCTATGTTACTCCAGGCCATGATCCCTTGTGAACTCACCAGTCTTAAGGAAGGCCTCAGTGTATACTGTTGCTCAGCATACAGCGATGAAGAGATGGATAAAATCCATGAGTTTGTCTCTGAAGGAGGTGGTCTCCTCATCGGTGGTCAGGCTTGGTATTGGGCTTCCACCCATCCCAATAGCAGTGTCTTTGCCCAGTTTCCAGGAAACAAGATCCTTAACAAATTTGGAATAGGAATCTTTGGGAAATCAATCTATTACTCTAACGAAATCTTCCCAGCAAGGCAGGTTGGAGATGAATCTTTGAATTACAACTTTCGTAAAATGCTCTCCTATTTCAAGGAACAGGTTGAGAACGATCAGCCTCTTCAGCCGCCATATTCCTTGTGGTGTAAGAAACTGGCAAATGATTCAGCCGCGTTCCTACAGATCCCAGCTGCCAAGTCCTCTGTTTTCTCCTCTGTTCACAAGCATATGATGGAAATGGTCCAGCGCTGTGGGATTCCCAACATCGATGCAAACATCCCGATCAATTCCAACTCAGACAAAGCCGTTTTACTCTACCTGTCTTGGGATCTCTATAATGCGGTGCCGGAATTCCAGAGTTTAGTCCCCAGCCTGAATCAACATTTCACAAAATACTTCCCTGTCGAAACCCAAAACATCTGGATCAATGCAACAAATAATGGTGAGAAGGTTTAGGGGTGATGTTGTTTTGAATCGAGATCATTGTGTGTATTGATCTTTTGGTGTAATCTTTTGGATGCCCAGTTATTGAGATGTGTGACTAGGAATAGCCCTCCTTGCATAGAGTTGCCTTAAGCCAAGGGCTGTGAAGTGCATCCCCTAAGTAATATGTGCCTTCGTGGGGTTTGAATGTTTTGTAGGGATGACTCTCCGCTCTTTTTGCCCCTAAAATGTAGGGTATTTGGCTGGGGAGGGGTAAAAACATGCCCTGAGAATGCATTTTGAGACAGTGATTTATAACTTTGGGGAGGGGGGTGCTGTGAAAGCATGGAAGCATTTAAGGTCTCCAGGGAGGACTAATTTGTCATCTATCCCTGCCATAAGTGTGTATTGTTAGGAAGGTGTGGGGAAGCTGACAGTTATTCTTAGCATGTCTAGAATCAGAGGCATGAATTCTGACCCCCACCAGCTGTGGAACTACAATTTCCAGCATTGCACACTACTGGCAATTCCGATGAAAGATGCTGGGACCTAAAGACCAACATTTGAACAGTCATGTGGTTTCTACTTCCACTTAGATGCTTAGTAGGGTTCTTCTCCAATACATATCTGTAATGAGTGGATTGAATGAAATTGTATGACTTGAGTATAATTGAGACGAATATAAGACTGAAGACATCATTCTGGAAATGAAGCCTGGAAAACTGCAAAGGAGGTGAACATGTAAACATGTTGTTTTCAACCATAGTTCTACAGGTCAGCAATGTTAGCTGTTCTCGTCAGCAACTTTTTATCACAGTTCAGCAGTTCATGAATTGTGATAAAAAGTTGCTGATGAGAACTGCTGACATTGCTGACCTGTAGAACTAATATTTATTTATTTATTTATTTATTATATTTATATACCGCTTTTCTCAGCCCTTGGGCGACTCAAAGCGGTTTACAGCAGCAAAAATTCAATGCTCAAGATATCATAGAACAGTTAAAAACAATTAAAACATAAAGCATAAAAACAATCATTACAAAATCAATAAATCATATCTCTACTATGGTTGAAAACAACATGTTTACATGCCCAGAGACAATGATTCCTCAAGTTAAAGAAGTCAAATAATGGTTCTTTACTTAAGGAAGAAAAATAAATCTGTCCAGAAAATGATGGAGTCAGCAACTTTTAGTGGAATAGCAGGTTGTCAGTCATTTACAACTTCAATAACAGCATAAATGCTATATAAGAGACCTTCTTACTTTCCAAAAGTGTGGCAGACTGCAGGAACACAGGGTCTGTACACCTGCCTCTTTCTCCAAGTGACAGAGAAAGTTGGTGTATTAGCAGAATTGTGGATTTGCAGTGACCACAATCTGTCCCATGTGCAGGTCTCATCTCCAGGAGCAGGAAGAAGGGGTGGCAATGCATGCATGTAGAGCGAATGTGTGTGTAATATCCTCTTTGTTGTGTAACCAATGTGTGTCTACCTTTTTCTCTGTAAAGTGCCTAATGCAACCTGTCTCACTGAAGGTCAAAAAGTATTCATGACATATCCCTCTATCATAAAAACTGTTAAAGCAATATTGGAAAAGAGGAAGTTAGATTTGATATCTATCACAGAGCCCTGAACCTATTGCTATACTGCAATTTTTGGTCTTACAGGAAAGGAAGCATGGAGAAGTTCTGGCATGTATGTTCCTCCAGCCAAGACTGCCACCTTGGTCTTTTCGTCAACTGTCCTTGATGCTAATTTGCAGGTGAAATTGCTAAACTATGTGTTATATAAATGTAAAACAAATCTGCCTCAGCCTAAAGAGATCAGGGGGTGGAACCATACCTGTTTCGATACCACCAGGCTGTTAAATCCGGTATCCTTTTTTTCCAGGTGCAGATTGGTTGCCATTCTGATGATCTGAGTAATGCTGATCAACTGCAACGTCCTCCAGTGATGGTCAGACGATTTCAGGTTAAGAGTCGAAGAGTGGAGGTCTCCAGCCTGTGGGGAGGCCTCTTGTACATCATCGTGCCGGAGAACTCTTCCATGGGTTCCATATCTGTCACCATAGAAGGGGCCACCATGGCTCCTTACTTCACGCATGGTAAGCAAAGCTCTTCTTCCTACATAAACCAAGTGACTGTGGGATATTTTGTAAACTAAAAATATATATTGGGATACAGGTAGCTAGTAGGATAGAAAATTAAGCATTTGCAGGGCATTCTGGTCATACCATTGACTGATTGGCACTTACTACTAATATTATTTATTTAAGACATTTAAAGCTTGTCCTATCTCAACCTCCGCAAAGGGACTCGGGGCAGCTAACAACAAAACACACACACATACACATACACACACACACACACACACACACACACACATATATAGTAAAACATTATAGAAACATTAAAACAAATGTCAATTTAAGTCATCATCCTAAAAGCAGTCCATCAGAGTCCATTAAAACCATAGCTTTGCCATCAAGTTCATCTAGTCCGCAAGGGCTTGATCCCACAGCTAGGATTTCACTTTTTTTCAGAAGGTCACGAGAGATGGAGCAGATCTGATTTCGTTAGGGAGGGAATTCCATAGCTGAGGGGCCACCACGGAGAAGGCCCTGTCTCTTGTCCCCACCAACTGCAATTACAATGGTGGGGGGACAGTGAGCAGGGCCTCCCCGGATGATCTTAAGGTCCAAGGTTCGTAGTGGGAGATACGTTCGGACAATCTGAAATGAAAAGGAAAATTTCAATTTTCAGTAACCTCCCATGATTTCCATGTCACTGTGTATCTCTAAGCCAGTGGTTCTCAACCTGGGGTCCCCAGATGTTTTTGGCCTTCAACTCCCAGAAATCCTAACAGCTGGTAAACTGGCTGGGATTTCTGGGAGTTATAGGCCAAAACACCTGGGGACCCACAGGGTGAGAACCACTGCTCTAAGTTTTGACAAACCTATCACCATTTTTTCTGGGACTGAGAACTTGCAGAAAGTCACCCAGTGGATTTTCACGGCCAAGTGAGTATTCAATCCTTGGTCTCCAGATCTATAGTCCATTACTCAAACCACTACACCATGTTGGCTCTCCATGGTTTTCTATACGTTACTTTATGGTGGAAGCCCTTTCCTTGGAAGCTTTGTGGTCTATCCAATGCAGTTTTCAGAATCAGCACCCCAAATAACGAAACTGAATCTAAAGTTGACCAAAAACTGATTCGTAACCCTTTTGGTATTAATGTTGGAGAGTGGTCCCTGGTCAAAGTGGTCCCTGGCCAAAAAAGGTTGGGAACCACTGGTCTATTCCTACCCAGCTCTTTCTTTCATACATCTTTATATTATTATTATTATTATTATTATTATTATTATTATTATTATTATTATTATTGCTCAAGGACTGTTGCTCGGAGATCTGAGATGGAGTGTCCACGAATATTGAAATGTTCCGATCCTTGGTTTTGTGTATTCCTTAGAATACTTAGAAGAATGGACACTTTGAGACTTCAGTAAAAGCAAACGTATAGCTTTACTGAGTAGAGCAAATATACAGCACACACTCGCATTGACATCCAACCAAAAAGAGACAGAAACAAGACAAAAGCACCGAAGTAAGAAGGAGGAATGAAATCTTATCTCTGGATCCTCCCTGCACGTTCCAGGCAAACTCAGGGTCACAACTTCACAGTTCATTAGAGGCTTGACTGATTAACCCTTTCAGAGTCAATACACTCTCTGCTAATGCAATCAGGTTACATTCACAGGCATTACACAAAATTACATTTAAACATTCACATTACACTAATCTTACATTAACATGTTTTTTGTCCACTGCCACAGTGGCTGTTTGTTCAATGTAGTCTTAACGCATGTTTTGTTTCTCAAAATGTTGGATCAGGTGAAACCAGCATCTATGCCTGGCAGGATACCATACGCCACTATGCGTCACCCTGGGCTGAGCTAGAAACTGAGAACATCATCTTGACGGTGCCCTCAGATGATGCGCGCAAAATAGATGATCCTGAGAGCTTGCTCACCACCTGGGCCCAGATGATGAATGCCATAACCGAGTTGGCAGCCATTCCTCCTGTTTTTCCCAGACCAGAAAGAATTGTGACCGATGTTCAAATATCAGCTGGTAAGTAGAAACCACTTCATATCATGTGCGTGTCCGTGAAATACAGAACAGGTCCTATAACCGTAGGGAAAATGTTCTGGATCATTGGATTATAAAGGGTAAGTTTTATCCAGTCACGGATGGGATTCACTCAGCTCATCCAAATCCTTCAACCCTGCTGCATTTGAGTTCCGCTGCTGAACACCTCTCACAGTTAGGAAGTTCTTCCTAATGTTCAGGTGGGAAAGGTTCCAGTATTTTAAGTTAGATCATGAAGGGTAAGTTTATGATCTCAGGGGCCGGGCTTTAGCACAGGAGGTTAATTACCAGCTGCAATAAATCTTGCCAACCGGAAGGCTGCCAGTTCTAAGCACAGGTCAGGGTGATCTCCTGACTTTTAGCCCAACTTCTGCCTACCTAGAAGTTCGAAAACAAATGTGAGTAGATAAATAGGTACCACATTAAATCAGGGAGGTTTACAAACAAAGAAAGCTCTTTAGCAAGGAGATGGAGCGACAGCACCCCCTGGGGCCAGAACTGAGCACATTCTCCAAGACGCCCGAAAGATGGGAAAGCCTATATATAACTCTTTCTGTTGTCTGTCTTATTGTATAATAGACACTGAATGTTTGCAATATGTGTGTTCTGTGATGCACCATGAGTCCCCTCCAAGGTGAGAAGGGTGAAATATAAATACTGCAAATAAATAAATAAGTTTTATCCAGATCTGTCTTGGATGGGGTTCACTCAGCTCGTCCTCTATAAGTCTCCTCCCAAACCCTCCAACCCTGAGTCATTGGTACACCTCTCATTTTACAGTTACTACTTCAGACTTTTATCTATTCATATAGATATCTATCTATCTATCTATCTATCTATCTATCTATCTATCTATCTCTAACGCTAACTCTTACCCATGCTCTTTCTATAGGTTGGATGCATGCTGGTTATCCGATTATGTCTAATGTAGGGGCAATGCAGAGTATTGTGGATGTGGACACTATCCAAATTGAAGGGTGCTGGGGTCCAATCCATGAGTTGGGTCACAACCAGCAGCAAAGCGGGTGGGAATTCCCTCCCCATACCACTGAAGCCACTTGCAACCTCTGGTCTGTTTACATCAATGAGACGGTCCTGAACATCCCAAGGGACCGAGCTCATCCAGAACTCCAACCGAACCTGAGAAAGCAGAGAATTGAAGACTATCTCCAGAAGGGAGCTCAGCTGAAGGACTTTGAAGTATTCACTGCTCTGGAACCCTATTTACAGGTAACGGCGGAGCTTGAGTTTGAGATATGTATCTGGAGACAAGTCCCATGGAATTGTCGAAGGCTTTCATGTCTGGAATCACTGGGTTGTTGTAGGTTTTTTCAGGCTATATGGCCATGTTCTAGAGGCATTATCTCCTGACGTTTCGCCTGCATCTATGGCAAGCATCCTCAGATGTAGTGAGGATGCTTGCCATAGATGCAGGCGAAACATCAGGAGATAATGCCTCTCTAGAACATAGCCATATCGCCTGAAAAAACCTACAACAACCCAAGTCCCATGGAACTTCGTGGGGAACTTACTCCCAAGGCAGCTGCAAACATCTAACCCAGGTGTATCCAACACAGAAGATCCTTGCATTTGCTATGCCCATATTTTGCATTTCCGAGAATCCCAATACAATCAAAAACAATATTTCGCCCGTGTAGAGGATCTCAGTAGCCTGAAGGCACCAAATCTGGTCTGATCTTGGAAGTCAAGTAGGATCAGCCCTTAAAGCCTCTAGTGGCTCAGTGGGTTAAGACTGACAGGTCGGAGGTTCGAATCCAAGGAGAGTGTGGATGAGCTCCCTCTGTCAGCTCCAGCTCCCCATGTGGGGACATGAGAGAAGAGTTCTTCTTCTTAGGCGATCCCTCGTAGTCCGAGGATGATGATCCTCCAAGAGTGGTAACCTGGGGGTGGATCCGTAGGTGCCTGTGGAGCCCTATTCTTGATCTGCATCTTCTCCCTCCCGACCGGGACCGCCTCTCCAGGTGGGAGGCGGTCCCGGTCGGGGTTGGCTTGATGCGCCTTCCTCTTGGCACGTTTCTCTCTTTTGCCCTCCATTTGTGTCTCTTCAAAATCTGCAGCACTGCAGCACATGAGAGAAGCCTCCCACAAGGATGATAAAACATTTGGGCATCCCCTTGGCAACGTCCTTGCAGATAGCCAATTCAAATGGTTGCCTTCTATTTACTGTCCACATGGAAAATAATTTCACTTGACTCTCTATCTAATCCAATAAGTACTATGACCTGATAAATTTGTAATGAACTTCAGACTGGGAAAACTTGGAATGTAAATAGTTATCGATGCAGCTTCGTGTTTATCCCTGGTTTAATGTATTAGGGCAGGTGTGTTTATGTGTTTTCAGGTTACCTGCTGGCATCAATTCCTACTTGTATGGGGTCTTCACAGGCAAGGAGTACTCAGAGATGGTTGACTACTGCTTTGAAGAACTTAGCTAATGAAATGTATACTTTTCCCCCAGCTCCAGGAAGCATTTGGATGGGACTCCTACAAACACATCTTTGCCGAGTACCAAAGAATGACCAATCTCCCCAGCGACAACAAATCCAAGATGAATCTGTGGGCAGAAACGTTTTCTCAAACAGTGCACAAAAACCTGGCTCCTTTCTTTAAAGTCTGGGGGTGGCCAATTGAAGATGAAGTCTCTTGGAAGCTGGCCAACGCTTTCCCTCCCTGGGAAGAGGATCCAATGAAGTAGAGTTGTCCGGAGAGATACAAGAGAGGGTTCCTCTATTTTTACTGGATTTACATACCTACCAACCAACTCTCCCAATAGTCCTGATTAATTCTCTGTCTTCCCACTTTTCATGTGCTTTTGAAATGTCCCAGTTTATTTCTCCTTTCCCCCCTTTGTCCTAAATATATTTCAATTGCTGCAAATTGAGAAGGAGATCAGCACATATCCGAATTATATCGTACATGCTGAGGATTACACTATGTAACACAATTTTTGTTCCTGAGTTATAACATTACTTCCTAATTGGTTCTATCATAAACACATGGAAAAAGTTTATTAAACTACAAAAAATCTGGGTTGTTGTAGGTTTTTTGGGCTATATGGCCATGTTCTAGAGGCATTCACTCCTGACGTTTTTCCTGCATCTATAGCAAGTATCCTCATATGAAAGCCTTCGACAATACATACAAAAATTCTGTTTTTGTGGGACATCTTGTAGCACTTTTTGCTATAGTTTTTCAATAAATATCTCACTGAGTCTTAACCAATTCAACCTAGTTTGTAGCAGCAACAGAAACAAAATTTCTGAAGTGTAACAACTACTTTCAAAATAAGTACAGAAGAATTAAACAGGAAATAACACTTTCAAACTAGGAATGATTTTTTCTAATTTTGTTACACAGTGTAACCAATCTCAGGCTTACTTGAAGAATACATCTTATATCATTTTACCATTAGCACATTTAACCTATGATCCTCTAGTAATAGTATTAATCTTTAAACCTGTGCGTAAACCAGTGCTTCTCATGCTGACTAATATGGTAGACTCATTGTGCCGTCGCGCCTGAGGGCTATAACTCTTAGTGAAAGAGACATAGACGTGACATCTTTCCCCCAGGGGATTGCATCTTGCCTTCCTTTAGAGAACTGGAACTCCTAAGGACCAAAACACTGTAGATAACTCAAAATAGGTTTTATTGTTCACAAAGAGTTATCCCATTAAGGCAATAAGCTGGAAGTTTCAAAGGGGTAAAGGAAAATATACATTACAGTCTCTGGTTGTCTTGGATCCAAGGAGATTTCGCAGTTGAGAAGCTTTTCCTGTTCCCTCTTTTCTCAGTCACTGTGAATATCGGAATAATCACAACCCCAATTCCAATGGTCTATATTTGAAGGGACAAAGCCTTCCTCTGGTGCCAAAGAACTGGTTTGAAGGCACTTGAGACTTCTCAACGTTGTCCAGGTTGATCTGAACATGAAGCATAAGTCTCAAGGGTAAGAAGCTCAGAATTGGTGCTGGGAGGTAACTTAATCAAGGGCTTTAGAGCCAAGTCCCTTTCTCACGTCCATCTGATAGAAAGATTGGTGGTGGAAAGGAAAAGCACTGCCCTCCTCCAGGAAGAGGTGGAGCCAAGCAATTGAGCTGAGGAAGCAATATAACTGGTGCAAACAACATTGATTGACAGCTATAAATAACCAATCAATCCAACTATACATTTACAAAATAAGCAAGTATGGGCATGTTACACAGTTTAAACCCTTGCAAGTTAAAGTTCTATATATAGGTGGCGCCACTCATGCCGTCACACTCATTATTTTTTAATGTGCAAGAAAGCTAAATTTGGATCCAATTCTTCCTTTCCTAGAAACTTGCCACTTTGAGTAGCCCTGCTCTAGCGCAAAACTTCTTAAACTGTGGGTTATCATCCCATTTGGGGTCCCCTAACTCAGTGTTTCCCAACCTTCCTAATGCCATGGCCCCTCATGTTGTGGTGACCCCCAACCATAAAATTATATTCTTTGCAACTTTGTAACTGTAATTTTACTACTGTTATGAATCGCAATGTAAATATCTGATATGCAGGATGTATTTTCATTCAGTGGACCAAATTTGGCACAAATACCCTAAACACTCAAATTTGAATGCTGGGGTGAGGATTGATTTTGTCATTTGGGTATTGTAGCTGCTGGGATTTATAGTTCACCCGTGGAACTCACTGCCCTGGAGTGTGGTGGAGGCTCCTTCTTTGGAGGCATTTAAACAGAGGCTGGATGGCCATCTGTCAGGGGTGCTTTGAATGCAATTTTCCTGCTTCGTGGCAGGGAGTTGTACTGGATGGCCGATGAGGTGTCTTCCAACTCTATGATTCTAGGATTCTACCTACAAATATGTGTTTTCTGATGGCGACCCCTCTGAAACCCCCCTCGCGACCCCTAGGTTGAGAAATGCTGCCCTAACTGGATCTGAGGGGTCACAAAACCTGTATGTATCTTGCTCCCTAGTGACTGTTTTAGACATTTACATTAATCCAAGAGAAAAAAAGGAGAGCCAATAGAGTACAATCTGCAAATCAAATATTCACCCAAGATTTCATTCTTTATGAATGAAAGAAAAAAAAAACCAAGCACGTCTGTCTCGTTAATGTGCAAAATTTCTTTCAGCTTTAACAAATGGTAAAATTCTGTGCATACCAAAGAATTGTTTTAAAATAAATTTCTTTATGATTTCTTATCGGTAAATGTTTGACTGGTTTACTTATTTTACGTACCTATATAGCTGGGGCCGTGTACAATTTTTCGAGCAAAAAAAGTGTCATGAGTAGAAAATGTTTTAAGAAGCCCTACTCTAGTGCACGGCTTCTTAAACTGTGAGTGCTGACCACGAATAGGGTCCCCTTAGCTCAATGCCCTGACCTACAAGAAGCACTGCCTGAATATCAAGCAAAAAGTGGGTGCTAGAAACAATATCATACAAAAGCTAACTGGCACAACCTGGGGATCACAACCAGACACAGTGAAGACATCTGCCCTTGCGCTGTGCTACTCTGATGCTGAGTATGCATGCCCAGTGTGGAACACATCTCACCACGCTAAAACAGTGGATGTGACTCTTAATTAGACATGCCGCATGATCACAGGGTGTCTGCGCCCTACACCACTGGAGAAACTACACTGTCTAGCCGGTATCACACCACCTGACATCCGCCGGGAAGTAGCAGCCAATAGTGAAAGGCCCAAGGCAGTGACATCTCCAGCTCATCCCTTGTTTGGGTATCAGCCAGCACGTCAACGACTTAAATCAAGAAATAGTTTTCTAAGATCTACAGAGGCACTTGCTGGAACACCTCAGCAAGCGAGAGCCCAAAAGTGGCAGGCTCAAACCCAGAACCTCAATCAATGGCTGACACCAAATGAGAGACACCCTCCTGGGCACACAGAAGACTGGGTGACTTGGAAGGCACTGAACAGACTGCGCTCTGGCACCACGAGATGCAGAGCCAACCTTCAGAAATGGGGCTACAAAGTGGAATCCACGACATGCGAGTGTGGAGAAGAGCAAACCACTGACCACCAGCTGCAATGCAACCTGAGTCCTGCAACATGCACCATGGAGGACCTCCTTGCGGCAACACCAGAAGCACTCCAAGTGGCCAGATACTGGTCAAGGACATTTAATCAACTACCAAGCTCGCAAACCCTGTTTTGCCTGTTTGTTTGTTTTGTTAAAAATGTAATACAACTGTTTGGTTGCTCCTGACACGATAAATAAAAATAAATCGCTCAATATTGGGTTTATGAAAAGTTTGGCAACAAGAAAAGATTACAGAATGTCACTGAATTTTCCACACATCAGTTAGCAACACCGTGCTGTGCTTACAGTGGATTCTGCAGAAAAAGCATTGGCTGTACTCCACAAAAAAGGGAACGGAACCTATTTTGCAAGCCTTGCAAATGCTGTTTCATTATCGGTAAATGTTTAATTTTTAATACCTATTGTATGTACTTAAATACCTAGTGTCAAGACACAGACACCTTAAAGGGGCCACACACAGGTCTTAGTCCAAAGGCAAAGTTTATTAAGTCCAACACAAATTAAGCTCAGAAGCACTTAACTTCAGTGTTTCTGGCAACAACTCAAAATGTAGACCAAACTTGGTGCAAAATAAAGCAAGTGGAGAAATAACCCGGATTATCTGGAGAAAAGATCCGGTTTAAACACAATCTTCAGCGGTAAACAAGCAAACTGCACACAAAGAGTTAACAGAGAACAGAAACCGCAGGGAGAGAGAAGCCATAATCAGTTGAAGTCCAGGAGTCAAGATAGAGGCAAACCGGAGTAGTGTCAAATCCAAATCCAGCGGGCAGCGTTGTCATCAAACAGTCCAAGGTTCAGGAGAGGAGAATTCCACACTCATGAGAAGTCAATCCCAACGAAGTAAACGGAACGCCAAGCTGCAGATCCAGGACCCAAAATCCCAAACACGAACAGGCAGCGACAAGAGCATACGATACTCAAAGTAACACCTTGCCTTCTGCAAAGGTTCCCCATTTTTTACCTTGCTTATATTACACATCCTCATCCTCCGACGAAGAGTTAGCCAACGCCCCGTCATTATCCCATTCAGGTGCCCCATGAACCATACGTGAACTCCTGTTACCATCTCTCCAACCCTTCCACCTCCTGTCAAGACTTAAGTCTCCCCATGTTTCTGTAGTGTTCCCCGATTGCCACTCCTCGCCACCTCATCCCCATTCCCATCACTCTGTGACCCAGAAAAATCCATAAAGGACTCTTCATCCATGGAAGCAGCAAATATCTCTCGGACCCTCGTCCTTTGTTGTTCCCCGTCCGACTCCTGGCCACTACTAACTCTCTTTCTACTCTGAGAGTAGACTATGTTACTCTCCTCTTCACTCTGAGACCCATCGTCCCCGGAGAAACCCTCAAAGGATTCTTCCTCTGTGGGGGCCATAAGTATATCCCGGATCCTTTTCCTTTGACACTCCTCATCAGAGTCTGACTCTCGAGTAACCCGTTTCTCTCCTCTAGCCTCCAACCTACCGTTTGCACCAGTAGTAGCAGGTCTTACTACAACACCTAGGGTCACATAAAAAATTCTCAGGAGGAAAGGGATTGTGAGTGGACAAGGTTTAAGAAGTCCTGCTCTCGTATATACAGTAATCCCTCGCTACTTCGCAGTTTGCTTTTTGCAGACTCCATACACCCAAATTTGAATACTGGTGAGGTAGGGGATTGATTTTGTCATTTGGGAGTTGTAGTTGCTGGGATTTATAGTTCACCTACAATCAAAGAGCACTCTGAACCTCACTAACAATGGAA